CTTCTAGATGTTGAGCTTCAATTCATAATGAATATTAACTTACTAGATTTATTGAAATAATTTATTAGATTTTCTAAAAAACCTTTTTTTATATCATTTTCAAAATCTTTCCAAAATGTTCTTCCTAAAATTAATTCTACTCTATCATCTTATAGCAACAGCTGCCAAATTTCAGGCTAAGGGTGTCTGGATCCTGCTGCTGTCTTGTGGTATTAAATCAGCTGTGACTCCCATTGACCTTCAGGAATCAAAATTGCTAAAATAATTCTGGCTACTATAATGAAACTTTAAGAAACATAGCACTGAGGGTACTCTGGTGGCCTACTGGAAAGAAGCTGCACTGAAATCTCAGAGGTATACGGTTTGAATTCACCAGATGCTTTGCTGGAGAAGAAAGGGCAATCTTCTATACTAGTCATATCCAATTTGATGGTACACACAAGAAATAATAAAATTTAAAAAAAAAAGAAAGAAAGAAACATTGCACTGGAAAGTATACAGAATCATCAAGCTTTTGGGAAAGGTAAGCACATAAACAACTCATACTGAGCCTATCTGTTATTCAGGTGACATGGATATGTGGGAGCATGGGTGGTTGTTGATAAGTACTTTCAAGTCATTTCCAATTCATAGCAATCTTATGTATAACAGATCTGAGCCCTGCTCTATCCTTAGCCAATTTCATCATCTTTGACACATCTACCCCCATTACCCCACTCACTGAATCAATCCATCTCATATAGGGTCTTTCTCTCTTGTGCTGTCCCTCCACCCTCCCAAGCAAGACGTTCCTCTCCAAGGACTGGTCCTTCCTTGCAACATACCCAAAATATGTGAGACAGAGCTTCGGAATCCTAGCCTCCAAGGGAATGTGGGTACTATGGCATATGTCCCTCCAGTAGAGGGTCTAACTCTCAGATCACTGCCTTCTTTGCTATCAAGTTTATCAGCTACCTAGATCTTTGCTACCAAGTCATTTTTTCATTAATGTCATAGTATGCTGCCTCTAGCAGTATTTACTTTGACCTTTGTAATTTTCTGCTTCTTATTTGACATAAACTAGAAACTAGTTAAATTATTTTAAATGATCTAACTATAATAAAAATAATGAGTCCTATGTACAAGAACAGAGTATTTCTACAAGCATAGTACCGTGTCACACCCATTTGAACATGTAAGAAGTCAAGCTTTTTTCCTTCTAATATTTTTTATTGGTTTGCATATAATCATTCATATATACTATGCTTTATTCATACATACTTTGTTTTATACAATCATTCATATACACTGTATTTCATATTGTTAACTATTGATCTATGCTTATATTACCCATCTTTTCAAGTCTCCAATGAATCTTTTCTATTCCTTCACCCAAAGCTAAACTTTTCCTAAGTTACAGACTGCTAAATACATGACTTCTAGATAAACTACTGACAACATATATGTATATACACACACACACATATAAGGACAACTCACACACACCTCTATGTATGTATATGAATATGAGGCTGTACCCAAAAGCCTCATTTCCTTGACAGAAATAAGGACTTAAGTAGTAGTCACAAGAAAGTAAAGATTATAGGAAATGTGAAGTTTATTCAAAACGGCTTTCCCAGTCACTGAACTTGACTTTGCCATGTGGATGCGTGGGAATATGTGAATAGGTCATGTTAAGACTATCCACAAGGGGACTGGCTATCTCACCAATCCACAAGGGGACTGATTAGTCTTAACACTGCGTGATCCAGCAGCAGAAGGAGATTTTCCCCACCAGCAAAGAAGAAGGTGGAAGAGACTAACACATCTTTCAAACCTAGAAACTCTTGCTCCAGCTACACCTACAGCAGCCACCACCATGGCCAAACCAGAGAATAACATAAAACATGAGATGGAGCTACCTTGGAACTGCTACCCCCACGGCTAGAACCAGAGCTAAGCTAAGAGCCTGTGCCCAAATTTATTTGACAATGGGGGTGGAGGAGGGCAAAATGAGAACTTTGGAACACTGGCCAAACCCATGAGGCTCAAGGCTGAGGTGCCCACAAGCACATTTCGTAAGCTGCTTGTTTTGAGTGACTGTGATCAGCTATTAATGTGATTTATAGCCTTTTGATTTCTCCAATATGGTTCTGTGAGGTCTGTGAGCTATCACATCATACTTTAGACCAAATATAGCAGTAAGAATGGTGCTGAGATGAGTAGAAAGGGGTGAGGGGATGTGGGACACATGCTGGACCTCATGGGAATTAGTTTTTTTCTACTGATGCTATTAACAGGGACAGTTCTCTTTCATGAAGTTCATAAAGATCAGGTATGGCTGACCCCATATAGCCCTTACTCTTCTTACTGGGTTTCGTTACATATTAGCACCAAAATAAAAGAATAAAGCATTTCAGTATTAACACTTACACTCACAAATTATGCATTCTGTAAACAGTATATTCTAAGTGGATGAAGAAACTTGAAGCTTTCTCAAGGTTACAAAAGTTAATAGTAAAAAATTGGAATTCACACCAATATAAAATTATTGTTGTTGTTGTTGTTATGTGCCATCGAGTCATTTGCGACTCACAGCGACCCTATGTACAAGAGCCCTAAACGCCGTTCTATCCTGTGCCAACCTCGCTGTCTCAAACACATTCATTCCCACCACTCCACTCACAGAATCCATCATCTCATCGAAGGTCTTCCTCTCCTGCACCATTCCTCCACTCTGCTGAACATAATGTCCCTTTCAAAGGACCAGTCCCTCCTTGCAACATGCCCAAAGTATGTCAGACGAAGCTTCAGAATCCTTGACTCCAGGGAACATTCTGGCTTCACCTTCTCCAAGACGAACCTGTTTGTTCTCCTATCAGTCCATGGTATATTCAACACTCTTCTCCAGCACCACAACTCAAAGGCATCAATTCTCTTTCTATAATCCCTATTCACTGTCCAACTCTCCGATGCATAGCATGTAATTGCAAAGACTATAGCCTGGATCAAGCACACCTTAGTCTCAGCCTGACATTGTTGCACTTCAGTACTCTTGAGAGTTCCCTCACAGCTAACTTTCCCAATGCAATTCGTCTACTGATTTCCTGGCTGCTGTTACCAAGAGTGTTGACTGTGGAACCAAGTAAACGAAAACTGTTAACTATCTCAATCTCTTCACCATCCATACTGATGCTGCTAATTGGTCCAGTGGTGAGAATCTTTGTTTTCTTGATATTGAGCTTCAATCCATATTGAAGACTAAATAAATTGAATTTTTTTAAAAAAAATTAGGATTCAAGTATAAACAATTGATAACTAGCATCTAAGCTGATGACTAAATTAGTGACAATTTTTTTAAAAATTTCCATTACATAAAGTGTATTCACACAAAAATTATATTTTAGTTTTAGTGTTCTCACTGGTTCTTGACTGTTAAAACAAGCTTGGAAGCAGGAGTGGCATCCACTTCTGAAACAGCTTGCCTCCAGAAACTCTACGAACTTGGAGAAATGAAAGTTATACAAGTGTTCAGGTGTTTCGTTCATAGGGTCACTATGAGTTGTCTACAACTCAATGGCACTTAACAATCATTATGCATAAATGTGTAAATCACTAGGAAGTATTTTTAAACTATAATACAACTTTTATTATTATCTGGACTTAACAAATGTTTGGACTATACTATTTTTTTTTTATTTTATTACTTTTCTGTGTGTGTACCGTCAAATCAGATCTGACTGGTACAGGAGGAGATTGTCCCTCCTTCCCCGGCAGAGCATCTGGTGGATTCGAACCATGCACCTCTGGGATTGTAGTTGCAGCTCCTTTACCACTAGGCCACCAGAGCTCCCCAGACTATACTATTTTGCGATGTTAATGAACTGCAACTTATATTTTTCTACTTGCCTATTCATTATAAAAGAATTGGAAAATTTTTCTTCTTAGAAGCCAATCAGAATGAAATTAACTCTATCACAGAGAGTTAAAATATTTCTGTAATACTTACTAAAAAAGGAAAATTCTCAAAAATTTGAAACTCAAGACAAAGAGGAAAAAACGTTAAAAACTTTGCAATAATTTGTGTTATATTACTTTCACAGAAAAAACAGAATGGAATTAAGACTGTCTTATTACTATTATACACCTCAGTTTTAAGTAATTATTCAATCTATCTTCTCTAGATTATGTGGTTACTGTCTTCCTCCCCTAGTATCATTCTCAAACATTCATTTCTAATGATTAAATTAAAAGCTATATAAAACTAAATATATCACTGTTGTTGTCTGCCATCGAGTCAATGATGACTCAACCCCACATACCAGAGCAGAACTGCCCCACGGGGAGTCCTAGGCAATCTTTCTAGGAGCAGATTATCGAGATTTGAGGGTTAGTTCTGCAGAAAAACTGTGTGATATTGAACAGCCAATCTTTCCATTAGCAAGTGCTTTAGCCACTGTACCACCAATGTTTCTTGACTGTATTTCTAACAGAAGCTAATTCAAAATTACTTCTATGCCCCTTTAAAACAGGTTGTTCCAGCAGACACAATATACACAACTGTTAACTCATCTTTCAGTCTACCGATGTCGGAAATCCTAACGTGAATTCTTGAGAACTGTCTTTAAGATCTGATAAAGAGTGAAAACTTGTTGGGACAATGCTGAGGGGGAACAGAAGCAGAAACAAAGACACATAATAAGAGCCCAACCCCCTACAGACTATGCCACCAGAGCTCAATTAGAAAAAAGCTAAAGCTTGTATCTAAATTACTGCATTTAAAAGTTCTTTCCCAACATAATCAAATTTAGATATATGACCAATGTCATCTCACTTGTAACTAAAACCATATTACAGTGGTTTGGTTTTTTGGTTTTTTTTTCCAAAAACTGTACCAAAGATGATAAATGCAAGGACTATTTCCAGCAGTCAATCAGTGAATACCAACCACCACTAAGTGTGGGCACGGTACCGACAACTGTAAAGGAAGCTGGAAAACCACTTCAAACAAATATCCTTACCTTTAGCTGAAAACCAGTTTCATTCACAGTCTCCTTCCAATTGGCTTCCTAAAAAGGAATTTTAAGAATCTTTACTGTAAAACAATTCCCTAATTGGGAATATTAGAAAATAATTATCATTCTGTTATTTCAAAGATGGGGAGAAAGATTAAAAATAGTTCCTTTCACCTCAAAATTAAGCAAAAAGAATGATTAAGAATTCATTGCACCTCTAGATGAAACAAACTCAGATTCTTAAAGATTACCAAAACATAGAGCCAAGTTTTTATGCATGTGAGCTTCACATCTGTAAACAACATGAACTTTATTGTCATCCAAATGATAATGGAAATTAATTTTTTTTAAGGACCTTTAAGTCAAAAATGTGAGCCAAAAGAATGATGTTGTTCATTAAGCTTGAAAATTAAAACAATGAAATACATATAAATGAAGCAAACACTGCTTCAAAAAGATTCTTACTAAAACAAGCCTTCTATAGATCTGAAGAAAAGTAAAACGTCAAGCAAAAAAAAAATTCTATGGGTTTCTTTTGTTGTTTTGCTTTGTTTTTTGGTGAGGAAAATTTGTATTTAAAATTAGCCAGTGAGACTCAGTTTAGATGATCCCAATTTTGTTGGCAACATACAAAGCATCCAAGTAAGAAGCAAGTGGAACACAGGCCTTCTTCTCTCCATAAGGTGCGGAGTGGAGAAGGAACACTTAGTTCTGAATATACTCAAAGCTCCCAAAACCTCCCTTCCTCTTGTACGTCAGCGCTTCCTTTGATTATGTCACTTCCCAAATAGTGATTTAGTTTTTTCCCATCATTTGTGTCAAAAAAGCTTTTTAAAAAAGGGATTCCAATATAAAAGGAAATTCCTAAATAAAAGGAAAATACCTGTGTTAAGAACAAGTAGAAGATTTTGTCTCTACAAAGGATGGGATGAGAAGCAACTCTGAGGAGAAAGTTCTCCAAACCAATCCGTCGTCTTTCCACAAAATCCGGATCCATGTTGTCAGCAGATAGTTTATGCCAAACAAACTCTGCCTATTTAAACAAAAACATTATTATGAACAGTCTCAATGTTAAATACATCTAAATTACTGCTACTTCATTTCTTACCCTTTTCTCTGGTAGAGGTGGCACAACAATATGTGGATAGAAAACTAAAAGGTAGTTTCTCAACAACTCAAATTCACTATACCGCCGCCATAGTGAGTCTGTTAGGACACTCTGACCATCAATATGTTCAACTGACCTGAAAATGAACAGAAGAAGATTTACAGTATTTCAAAAATTAAATACAGCACTTTCTTTAAAACTTCATTTCTAGATGACATATGACCCAGGTGCTGAGTTAAGCACTGTATGTTATCTCACTCTTATAACACCCCATGCAGCAGACATTAGACCCATTTTACAGATTAGGAAGCAGCAACACAGCACAAGCTCGGCCTACAATAACAAAGATTTGTGGAGTGGAGCTCTCAGATCCATTTGACCAAAACTCTCACTTCTAACCACTTGTCTTGTTGTTGTTGTTGTGTACCATCAAGTCAGAACCAACACATAACTGACCCTCTAGTGGGTTTTCGGAGATGGTAAATCACCTGGGAGGAGACTGCACATCCCACAAAGCAACTGGTGGATTTAAACCACATGCCTTTAGGACTGCAGTGCAGTTTCTCACCACTATGTCACAAGGGCTCCTCCAACCACTTGTCTAAGGTCATAAAAATATACCTGAACTCAGAAAAAATACAAGTAACTCTACATGGTTAAACTGAAATATCTGAGGGTCCTAGTTGCTTAAAAGTAAGCCTTAAGGATAACAAGCTTATAGATTATCATTTCCTAAGACAGAAAAACAAAGTATAAAGAGAAATATAGATATATTTGACAATCCTGAAATTGAAAACTTTTGTCCTTTAAAAGACAACATAATCAAGGCTAAAAGACAGTATTTCTTAAAATATGGTCCATCTGTATCAAAAGTTTTTATTTAAAAATATGTATTCCTTTCAAAGAAATAAGGACTAACAAAAGTACTAGCAATCATTGGCAAAAATAATTCTGTGGAATAAAAACAAAGTTTGTAACTACATTTTCTGGGGGGACAAATTATGTATTTCTGGACTCAACAAAAACATTCAGTGTAACAAATGATCTAAAAAATTTCTTATATTAATATTTGAGAACTCTTATTTTTAACATTTACGATGAGTATCAACCCAATAACCCTTCTGTGTGGCATGTATCTTACCAACTAATGAGCCATTTAAAACATTTACTCTGAACCTAGCCATATAACTCAAGAATAGTCGCTTCTTTTTTTTTTAATTTATTTTATTTCATTATTTTTTGTGTGTACCGTCAAATCATATGTGACTGGTACAGGAGGAGATTGTTCCTCATTCTCCAGCAGAGCATCTGGTGGATTCGAACCGTGCATCTCTGAGATTGCAGCTGCGGCTTCTTGCCAAGGGATAGTCACTTCTTAAGAGTTTCAAGTTAGACAGGGTAAGGGAAAAAACAATGAGTTTTTCCTCATTTGCTATTCTCTTGAATGTTAATGTTGTTGCCCACTGTTACTCAGCTAGAACCAACTCATAGCTGACCCTCCAGCATATATTCTGAAGCTGCTCATTCTCCCACCGAGCAGCTGGCAGATTTGAACCACCTGCCTTTAACTTGGCAGCACAGTTCATTACTCACAGTGAACAATTATAACCTATTCAGATTATTCAAACCAAAGTATTCTTCCAATAATAATGGTTAATTGGTAATTTCACTGCCCAAGTAAGTAGAAAAAGTATGTTCATACTAAATAATATCTTTACTTCATTTTAAACTTTATTTCATTTTAAGCAGTTTACTCAGAAAACTAGAGATAAATACTAATTCCTATACCTATAGTGTCATTTTTTTAAAGTGGCTAAATTAACATTAAAAATAAAAAACTATTCCGGAAACAAAAACAAAAAAATTAATCACCTTATAAATCTCTGGTATATACAGACACATGTATGCATATACACACATGCATGATCCAATTTATTAAATAATTACTTTATTCATCTCTTTTTTAAACATTTCTATTTTATATAAATGTTAAAACCTTATTCTCTATTCCTAGACTTGTTTGTTAACCACATTCACTTACTTAAATTCATTTTGGATTCTTCTGAGAACCTGATATACTTTCCCAAAACTAAACAATGACTTATCTAAAATCAGACACTGTTTCCAGTAACAAAGTATTCTACTAATCTTACATTTCTCCCAAAAAAGAAATACATGAGAACACCAAGAGTAGTATAGGAAAAGATACTGTTTCCTTTACTTGCTAAAAAAGTAAAAATGAAAACAAAGCAATATCTAAACAGCCAATGACCGCAACCAATTCTATTACATAAGAGAATAGTATCAACAGCCAGCTTTCTAGCTGAACCTCAGCCAGTTCTCCCCACCAACCTTGTTTCAATGAGGTAAGCAGTGTATGTTTCTTGCATGTTCATGGCATTTCTTCCAGTTCGCTTTTCTGCTTCTGAAACACTGATTTCTATCTTCTTCAACCAAAAATTATTGTCTGTCATCTGGAAACAAAAACAAATAAGAAAACACCTTTAGAATAGGATTGAAACAAAACCCTATTATAATAAAATAGTTTCTTAGTAGCTCTTTCAAATATTTCCTGATGTCCTAATGTTTGCTAAGCGACTTTGTAGCTCCTGACTGGCCTCTATCATAACACTGTAGCAAAAATAAACTTTTCCAGAAGGCATTTTAATATATACCATGTATTTAATGATGATGAGGATGGCGGATAGATAGGACATGATTCAGATCTGTTGTTCACAGGGTTGCTATGAATTACACTTGACTCAACAGCACCGAATAACAACCACATTTAATGATTTTTTTAAAAAAAGGATGCATTTCTAGGACCAAAACGAAATCTATAAAAGGAGTATGTAAGCAAATCTCTCTCTCCAAAATAAATACTTTCTTTTACTAATGACAAGATTTTCAATAGGCCTTTTCATTTTTAAGAATCAGGAATTCAAGCCAGGCTCCATACAGCAGCAGGGCTTAAGGGGACTAGATTCCCTTCTTTGTCCACTAGAATCTCAAGCCGAGTCTGTAGCAATGGACCAAAAAGAATAATAAACACACAGGTGGTTCATATGCTGTCTGTGTCAGTAAAGATCTTAAATATGTTCAGCGTAACCACAAGTCTAAATACAGAAAAGTGGAATAAGACTATGTGCTAACTAACAGTGGTGTTCTGTCCTTTTTTCTCCATTGCTCACTTTCAAAGTTCTTCATCAAAAACCATCACTTAACTTTGAAATGACCAAGGGAGGAAAAGACAAAGCACCATCCTAATCATAGTCTTGCTCCATCTTCCCTGTTTAGACTGAAATGAATCGGCTGATTCTATGAGGGCTGCCTCAGCCTGACTTCTTCCTGGTGATAAAGGAGAGAGGGTATGAGGTCAAAAGGAGAAAGGTGGTTAAGGCTCTCCGGGCCACACCCTGGGAGAAGCAGGGACTCTAACAGGGAAGCTCTGGGCAGCGCTTGTCCTCTGCTTGTTTCTCTCAGGACCTCTTTTTATTTAAAAACAACAACAACAACAAAAACACAACTGTGATTTCATTTTTTTAAAGTGATTTTTTTGGGGGGAAAACACAAACACACACACCCCAACAAAGCTTTTATTGTGGTAAAATACATAGGCAAAAAGAAGTTTGCTACTTCATTGTACAATTGATACTATAAAGCAACAATTGCTGAGGAGTCTCCATCCTGAAGCTCTTGGAGAAAGATCAAGAGATAAAGACTGCAGCCCAACGCACATACTTTTATTTTATATTGGTTTACTTAGAAAATTCGTATACATTGTTTTTCACATGAGATCTTTCCCATTTCCTTAAAGCACTCCTTTCTTCACCCATCAAATTGTGGGACCCTATGATTATGTTCCCCAGCCTCCTCCCCTCCTTGGATCCTCATATACGTTTTACTAGTTATCTATTTCTACAATAATGGTCTTACACAGTATTAGTCTTTATGGAACTGAATTCACTTGACATAATGCTCTCCAGTAGCTCCCAAGTTAGACAGGGATTTATAAAATCATTGCTCCTGTTTAACATCCCTCTTAATCTGTTAGAATCTGTTGGGGGGCGGGGGACACATCCAGGTGAGCAAAGGAAAGGAGGAGCCACTCACAAGGACCAGAAGCAGAACTAGAGATGGAATCCTAAATGAGTGAGGGTAAGTTAAGTGGAGGGCGAATCCAAGGATTAGAGGTGTTTAGAGAAGAGGGAGAATCCAGCTTCATTCCTTTCCCTGCCTTCTTCCACTCCAAACTTCAGTCTGGGCCTATTCTTTTTTTTTTTAAATCCTGAGTGGTTAGGAGTTGTGCAATATGCAGTTTGACTAACAGCCACTCCTTGAGAGAAAGATGGGCAATCCCTCTAGGCAAATTACAGCCTCTAAAAACCTGCTGAAGGGTCAGCTCTGAGTCAGTTCCAACTCAAAGGCACACAACAACTCTGCCTACTTCAGAAGCTGTGGCCCTGACCACGGCATCATGTCCCTGTATCACTTGCATATTCTCAATTCTCTTTTGCACAGACCCTATTAAAATAAATTTTAAATAAACCTGAGGGGGGTTGTGATTTGCAGCCTAGAAACCCCCATGGAGATGTTTTACTCCATCACACGGGGACCATTATGGGTCAGAACTGATTCACAGACACCCCCCCCCAAAAAAAACAAGAACAAAAAAATACATCTACCATCTTGTCTGACCATTAACATTAACCATTATCATTTCTTTGGGTGGTGGTGGAGGGAAATGCTGTTAAAATTTTTATAGGGGATTGTGTGGAATCTGTGAATCACTTTGGGTAGCATCAACATCTTAATATTAAGTACTTCAATACATAAACATAAATTTTTTTTCATTTGGCTAGATCTTTAATTTCAGCAACTTTTTAGTGCACAAGATTTTCAATGTGGAAATTATTGAATAATATAATATCACTAACAGCACTGGCCTAGTACTATTAGGAAGTAGACATGCTGCCATCCCAAAGGCACGCAGTTCAAATCCACCAGCTGTTCTGAGGGAGAAAAATGGGAAATCTCCAATGCGATTAAATTGCCTCTGAAAACCAACTGGAGGGCCAGCTATTAGTTGGTTCCAACTCGATGGTACACAACTATAGTACATACTAGCAAATTTTCTGAAGATAAATTAAAAAAAAAATTACTGTCGCTGTACAATGGCACAGAACTGGCAGATACACAAACTGGATCAAAAAGAGGATGTGGCATTATAGTTATCATTGCTGATGTCGGATGGACCTTAGTCAAAAGCAGAAAATTTCAGAAAGCTCTGCGCCTGTGTATTATCAACAACATACATGATTCAACTGCATGGGTCATAGCAAGTTATATATATAATTTCAAATAAAACACCTAGAATACCTGTAATTCTACTCATGTGAGAACCATATATGGATCAAAAGAACACCCACAGTAACAACAGTCAAGAAATAGAACTTATTACACTAGGCAAATCGGTTGTCAAAAGACTCCTCAGATTTCTAAAAAGCAAAGATGTCATCTTGATGACTTAAGTGCGTGTATCTGACTATTGTCTATTCAAATGCATCATATGCATATGACAGCTGGATGGGTGAAGGGATGCATTTGAACTGTGGTGTCAAAAAGATTGCTGAATATGCATGACACGCTAGAATCACAAAGTAGTCAGTCTTAGAATAAATAATACTGAAATGTTCCTTACAGATGAGGATAGCAAATTTCCTCTTGCTTACTTACCCCTAGAAAAATATACCATGTTTGATAAAGTAAAAAAAGAAAGAAAAAAAAACATAAAAAAAAAAAAAGACTCAAACTCGTTGTGTGGTAGAAACCTGAGGCTGTAAATTACACATGAAATTGCCCATCTTTTCTGAGGCTGTCAATTACATAGGAGGATACTGCCCATCTTTCCCCTGTGGAGCTGCGGGTGTATTAATACAGCCTTTGGGTCAGCAGTACAGCTCTCTAAGGACTATGCCACCATAGGAAACCACTACAGGATGAATTAACAACAACAACAAAATGACAACAATAGGCTCAAATACATCAAAGATCATGAAGACCTTTGGCACAGGACCAGACAATGCTTCTGAATGTTATACGAGGTTGTCATCAATTTCATTTTACTTGGATCCACAATCAACACCCTAGGTAACAGCAGTCAAGAAATAAAAAAATAAAAATATGTGTTGCATTGGGAAAATCTGCTGTCAAGGATCTCTCTAACATATTAAAAAAGCAACAGTTTAAAGATTTAAAAGATTTAAAGTTTAAAGATTCATGGTTTTTTCAATTATTTGCTATATATCGAAAAGTTAGACAATGAATAAAGGTGACAAATGAAAAAAAAAATATGCCTTTGAATTGTGTTGTTGGAGAAGAGTATTGAATATCCCATGAATTGACAAAAGAATAATGCTGGAGAAAGTGCAACCAAGGCGCTCCTTAGATGAAAACATGGTTAAACCTTGGGCCGCGCCCTTGGAAAAAGACATTATGCTTGAAAAGCTGGAGGGTCAGAGAAAGAAAGACCTTTAACAAGATGGATTGACACAAAGGAGGCTGTGAGGATAGTGTGGCAGAGGACTAGCTTCAGATCTGCTGTTCACAGGGCTGCTCTGAGTGGTACCAAAGGGTACCTAATATCATGAGTTGAAATGACTTGTTAGTCACAACTAATCAGAAGAGAAAAGAAGCTACCGCAAAACTTACAGTGATATGTCACAATGAAAATTAAATCTATGAGCTGCAAAACCAGAACGTGTTAACAGTTTAAAAAATAAACTCAATAAGGGTACTGTATTTAGGGTATCATTCTCACAAAGAACTGAGGGAAAATTTAAGAAAAAGTAAAAAAATGCTAGATAGTTTAAAAAAAAAACCCAACAAACTTTAAGGAGGACAGAGAACAAAGAGTAGTGCAGTGGACTAGAACGAATTAACAAAATTATAAATCTTCAGTAGTCCAACAAGACAATATTTTTAGGAAGAATAAGTTGTATGTCCATGTACTATGAGAAAAAGATGAGAGAGGGGAGCAGAAACCATTCTAGTAAGAGAAATTTTTAAAAATTACATAAACACAAACCATTGTACAACACCATTGGCTGGATACACAAAAAACATCATAATTTTAGCCTACATGCAAGTACTCCGATCTATGACCATACACTCTAGCGAAAAACATCCTCCTTTCCGGAAGCACAAGACTGATAAAACAAATTATCTTTCTAACCAAAATATAATGTGAATGAGTCATGAATTTACCCTAACAAACCATCCAATTAGTCACACATGAAGGCATAAAATCAGCCATCACAGCAACTACACAATGAGAACATGCACACATTAATAAAGTCACCAAGGTTGGTTGTTGTTGTTGTTGCTGTTGTTATGTGCCGTCGAGTCATTTCTAACTCATAGCGACCCTATGCACAACAGCCCTAAACCCTGCTCTATCCTGAGCCAACCGCAC